TACACAATCAGATATACCTGATAACAGCCAGTAGAAGACTACACAAAAAATAATCTTGACTTATCGCATAGTAATAAAATTATTAATATCAAAAATGTATTTCTGTTTTTTCTTTTTACATATTTTGTTAAAAGGCCAAATAAGGACTTCAAACAAAAAAAAGTAATTTTCTGTTTTGATTTATTCTTGGATCGGGCTTTAAAGGGTTAAGGCTCTGACATCACTACTTCCAGCATTTTATAAAAAAAAAAAAAAATATCCTGTATTTGGTCAAATCTCTGTCAAAAGGTTAAAAACTGAAATTTAAACTGCTGTTAATGCTTTTATCAGACAGCAATAATCATGTTTGCAGCTCTGATCATCCATCCATCCATGACAATCCACTGGACCTTGGTTCCAAGTTTGACGACGTTTCTCTTCCCATCCAGGAAGCGCTGAGTTCCAGGTTTTATACAGTAGCCCAACAAAGCCTCGTTTTCCCTTAGAAATTTTGCAAATAAAAACAGACGAACGGATCCACCCCTTTGGAATGGGAGTCGCTTGTGTTGTTTGGTAGCCTGCAAGGCCCCATACCTGTCTATATCTCTGAAAGGGGGGTCATTAGAGGGAATTGTTGGCCTGTCTGAATAGGTTTGGTTTCTAAACCAAAACAGGGCTTTGTTGGTCTACTGTATAAAGCCTGGAACTTGACGCTATTTCAGACATTTTGAGTTGAAAAATCTTCCTGGATTGGAGGAGAAACGTCTTCAAACTTGGAAACAAAGTCCAGTAGATTGTTTTTGAGCTTTTTGGAATGACTCTGACCTGGATGACAGGTTAAACAGCCTGTTTTGATCTAAACTGGTCCCCTTTGTCTCCGTTGTTATTGGCCCTTGAATCCTTACTGGTCCCAGTTGGAGAATTTTGACCCCAGCAGCAGCGTCTGATAAGAGGATAAGGATAAGAGATAAGAGGATAAGAGTGAATTGGTGTCACTAATAAGTCATTTTTCTGTGCTTTCCTTCGGCAGCAGTTCACGTCCAGCGCCCAAGTTAATTTCTGAGCTCATCTGCGAGGCTCATGTTTCCCTGCAGAGGTGTAGGGTGGAGCAAAGCGGCGGCGGCAGCTTCTCCCGTGGAGCAGCGCCAGGTAACACTACTTCGACCACAATGACTGACAGGAACAGGAGCGTCGTTCACAAGAACAACGGATCTGTCACTACATCCGGGAGGAAAATGGCAGCTGCTGAAACAGCTGGAAAGGTTAAAAGTGACGAGCGTCTTTCTAGCTCATCTGACAGGACAGTGGCTGCTCCTCCATTAGAGCCGCTTCCCTCGAACAAACCGGACCACCAGCGTGATGCAGGCGCCTCTTCGGACGCTGAGAAGCAACAGAAACGGCCGACTCGGCTGCCCCTGCCAGCACTCGCACTTTTTTTAAAGCAGCATTCAGCAAAGTCTAAGAAGGCGAAGAACAAAGCGGACACTGTCCCCCAGACGTCTCAGCCGGAGTCCTCTGCCACGTCTCAACAGAAAGACATCATGGAGGTCAGCAGAGAGGACATTCTGCCAGAGGAGAGGGGTTTAGATGGTCCAGGTGGGACTCCTCCCCAGCCCCCCAGTCCAGACATGCTCCCTGGTTCAGATCCCTTGGTCTCCCCTTCTGAAAGTTTAAGCTTAGGGCCCCCTGATCCTAACGAAGGGCCAATGATGTCCAACCCTGAGAAAAGCTGTGGCCCCGTTCAGGCGTCCGCACCGGCTGTGTCAGCATGTTCTACCTCTGCATCATCGCACCTGTCCTTACCTCTCAGTACTACTCTGTCTCTCCCAGACTCCCCCAGAGCAGCAGGAGAGCCTTCAACACTACCTTCAAGCTCTCGCTCCGTTAAGCTTGACTCTGTCCTCCCAGACCCTCAGTGTTCCTCCTTTGACTTTGACCCTCTGTCCCCTGCCAGCTCTGCAGAATCTTTACCTCCTCTCCCAGCCTCCTTAGCTTTAGAGCTGGACTCTTCGTCGTCTGCTGAAGAAGAACCTTCCAGCAGGAACTCCTCTGTCTTCAAATGGCACACAGTATTACCTCTGTCTGAGGCGTATTCACGCTCTCCTTTCCCAGCTTTGGAGCCCCCTCAGCAGTCCACTCCGTTAATGTCTGTCTCCCCTCCTCTGTTTTCCTGCCTTCCGGAGCCACAGAGCCAAACTCCTTCACCGTCGAACCCTCCTAAAGAGCCCCTCCCATCGTTTTCAGAGGGCGAACAGTCTCTGCCTTTCCCTGCAGAGCTCTCCCCTCTCGCCCTACAGCTCTCCCTTTCGCCGACCTTCTCCTCTTTGGACGAGGACGGCTTGTCCCCTACGACTTCCCTCTCAGATTTGGTGCACTTTTTCTCCACCGACGATGACATGGGAGTGGAGTTTTCCAACCCTGAGGCGGTGGCCACTCCCGTTCAGGCTCCGCCAGCGTCAGAACTGCCACAGCCCTCTGCGCCGGTGCAGGCGGCCTCCTGCAGCAGGTCCTGCAAGAGGAAGAAGTCGTCCAGGACAACCCAGCTGGACCGGTTGGAGGTGGGTGAGGATGAGGACGACTACAGAAGCAAGCAGCCCAAGGTGGAGGAAGTGGAGGAGCAGCTTTTTATCTCGTTCACCTCTAAGGTAAAATCATCTTTGTCCGTCATAATCACTGTTTAGGCGCCAAGTAGTGGACTTCCCACAATGCACCTTGAAAAGAAGTGATCATCTATGGTCACTAGACGAGCAGATATATCCCGGAATTCACTATATAGTCCCCGCTCTATATGGTGATGGAGGGGTCAGAGGTCAACCCCTAAATGCCTCCATCACTTTATAGAGCGGGGACTATATTAGGGGTGTAAATCACATCCATCATGGCGATTCAATTCAGTATCGATTTCCTGACCCAACGATTCGATTATTTTCATACTGAAAATACGATTTGATTCGATTAATTGGTTCATTATTTTTATTTTTTTTTTACCTCACAGGCTAGAAAATGTTTCAAATTTGAAATAAATCAATAAAAAGCTGTAATATCGTTATGCATTTTATTTGAGAAACAACAGAGGGCAGAGGGCATTGAGGAATATTTTTCAGATGGAACCACTATTTTAAATGTCACCATGACTGATTTATAGGAGATTAAACAAAAGAAAAAAATTTAAATATATAGCCTGGCCACATTTATTTCTAAAATAAACCCTGAAAAACACCATGAAAGCGCTTTAGAAACTCTGGATGAACCCTCAGACTTCATAGATCCACATCTTGAAAAGCTGAGAGGAGCTCCAGACCACCAGAGGGTGACAGTTGCTTACCTTTATGGGACCAGGGCTGTAGTAATGGCCTCTGGAAGCATCTGCTTGTGTTTTCACTGAAGGCCTGGGTGCCTGTAGGCTGGTGATGGTCTCCCCCTAGTGGCTGGGAGGTAAATATTTGCTTGTAGAGTAAAATGTTTCTAGAAGTTTAAAAATGCAAAGATTAAAGCAGTGAAATTGTTTCAGGAGGCCCTTAAGCTGCACACTGCTGAGTCATCTGAAGAGCAGCTACCCAACCCCCCGCCGGTCCCAGAGCCCCCACCTGCTGAAGAACCGGAGCTGCGCAGCACAGGTAGCCTCAGGTTGTTTCTGACTGGATCTCAGTGGTTCTGAGGCTCAGCTTCACTGACCGTCCTCTGCAGATGGTCTTAGACGTTAGGTGGGGTTTTAGGTGAACCTTTTCCTCATCAGCAGGGAGTCTGGAGGAGAGGATTGCGGTCTGTGAGGAGACGATTCTCAGAGACCTGAAGCTGATGAAACACAGGCAGGTCATCCACCCTGTGCTGCAGGAAGGTAAGCATCACTGACCTAAAGCTAGCACCACACAGAGCGCTCTGAGATGACGTTTCCTCCTGCTGTTTATGGCCCAGTTGGACTGAAGATGACCCTCCTGGATCCAGCTCTGTCCATCGACCTGCAGTACCTGGGAGTCTGTCTTCCCATCCCACCCCCAGGAGCGATGGAGCCGCAAACGCAGACGGAGCCGACTCCTCAGGGTAGGCGTGTTTACGGACTCTGTAAGTTTCTGTGTTTCATCAGAAGATGTACAGATCTGCTAATAACCTTCTGTTCATCTGTTCTCCTCAGGGATCTTTGCTTCATTTCAGTCCAGAACAGGAAAAACCACCGACGTGACCCAGATTAAAGGCTGGAAGGAGAAATTCCCCCCGCCGGAGGCTGAATCCCCTGCAGCTCCCAAACTTGAAGGTGCTTCACAGGCTTTAGGTCTTCACTGGTAACATCAGACCTCCTGAACTCGTCCGTCATCTCTGCAAACATGGGCGAGTTTCAGGAGGATCTGACAAAGCAACTCTAACCACGGAAATATCAGCTGCATGTAGTAAATCGATTCAGTTCGATGGACGGAGAGATTCTGTCAGCATAAGATGTTAAATTCTGCTGCAGATTCTTAGTAGAATTAAGATCTAAACTTTAATTAGACTGTTCAGGTGAATATGTGACCATGCTTTGATCTAAACCAGTGGTTCTTAACCTTTTTCACCCAACCCACCAGTTTCATTCGTGCATTCACTGAAACCTTCTCTAGTGATGAAAAAAAAATGTTTTTGTTTCAAATTAAAGGCATAGATATGTTTTTAAACTGGCCACACATGAACATCAACTTGCTCAAAGAACAAAGCCAAACCAGTGCATAAACTCACAGCAAATTACAGTATTATTTCATTCTCTGACAAGTGCTTTTCTCTTGTCATCTTCACAGCAAAGTTCCTTTTCTTGCTTTTTATGTCCACGAAATCCTCAAAGGATTGCTCGTCAGCTTGTTGAGGCTCAAAATGGTTGAATTCTCTTAAAGGGAAATGCCGTTTTTTATGTTTTTTTTACATTGGGCCCTTGATTTTACGTTATTACATCATGTTCTACTCACCCATATGAGTTTTGTGTCATTTGGAGCCGTTCTGAAGATATTCCGTTAGGTTATATCCAAGTAACGTCTTCCTATGGGCGACGACTTGAAGGCACAAACTAAACTAATTTATTCTTTATGGTACGCCAGCATTCATAACATGTAGACGAATCATTGTCCCCGTACGGAGACAATCAAAAGGGACATGGAGGGGAAAAAAGAACTTTTGCGAGATCCCACAATACTTTTGCAAGATCCCGCAATAGTATTGCGGGATCTCGCAAAAGTTTATTTTTTGCGAGATCCCGCAATACTTTTGCGAGATCCTGGAATACTTTTACGAGATCTCGCAATACTTTTACGAGATCCCGCAATACTTTTGCGAGATCTCGCAAAACTTTATTTTTTCCTTCCATTTCCCTTTAGGGGCTCCTTATCCCCCAGACATCCGCGGTTATATTTTTTATATTTATATCTTTTAAAAACAAAGCGGCGCGTTTATGATGTCATCTACGCGCGCCGGCTACCATTAATTCATCCTGTCCGCTGAACTGCTGCTAGTTTTACTCGCATGCCTGGAAGTTGTCTAGTGCTACTACCACAGATGATCTCGCTCTCTAAATGGAATTGAACAAATCAGATTAGCTAGAATGAATAGAAGGGGTAGAGCGTAGCCGCCTGTGACCCGGGCTGCCTGTCGCAACTCAAGTCTGGCACGCAGATGATGTCATACACACTCCGCTTTTTTTTTTGTTAAAGATATAAATAAAAAATATATAACTGCGGATGGCTGGCGGACAGTGATTCGCCTACATGTGATGAATGCTGGCGTACCATAAAGAATAAATTATGAACAGTTTAGTTTGTGCCTTCAAGTCGTTGCCCAAAGGACGACGTTACTTGGATATAACCTAATGGAATATCTTCAGAACGGCTCCAAATGGCACTAAACTCATATGGGTGAGTAGAACATGATGTAATAACGTAAAATCAAGGGCCCAATGTAAAAAAAAAAAAACCTGCATTTTCCTTTAAGACAAAAAAAAATCATGACACTGAAGACTATTCTCTTTATTTGTCCACCAGAGGGGGGAAAAACCATTTGACAAGTCGAATTCACATGCTGTCCAAAAATAACACCATACAGCGCTCATCATTGTCACAAAAGTCTCAAAGCATTTTCCCCCAAACCCTCAACCCTCTTAAATTTTATTTATACCTTCTTTGTAACATTGTGTGAATGCATGTGTGCAACAGAGTGCTATATGGAAATCTACCTGGAAAATGTGTGTGTGAGGTGTTTGGGCATGATAGCCTGATAAGGAAAAAGTATGTTATTCCCAAGATTCCCTGGCTTTTAAACTGCTTATTACTAATTATGATTTTTATTTGATTTTTAACGAAACATTTATTGAACAATGATTTCCCAGCAAACAGTTAAAAAACTCAGGTCATGAGCACATTATTATTATTGTTATTACAATAGCAGCTTGTTATATTTTAGCTCTCCTGAGTCAGAAATGATGAACAAAACACTATTAAAACCCCACAGTTGTAAAAAAAACCCTTCAAATCCTCAGTGGCTCTGTGGAAGCAAAACTCCAGCCTCAACCTGGCCTTGATGTTCCACTTCCACAGAGCCACCGTATCAAGCTGAGGTTCTTCCTGCAGTTTGTCCCTACATGTTAAGTAAATGGCCATTTTGGCTTGAGAGATTAAATAATTTAAAATTCTGGATTTGAAAGCAGTGGCTCGGCTGTGACGTACACCCGTGATAAAAACGGAATGGGTAAAAACAAAACTAAAAAGGCTTAAAACGTTGATTTAAAAAATAAAAAAAAAACAGTCAGTCGTACACAATCCATTAAAACGTGAAACACACACTCATGCAGTCTGCAAAAAGGACACTTGTTTAAAACCTCAGGACTGATGACTGATAAAAACGAGTTTGAAGCATGAAGTATCCTCCATTGAAGGTCACCAGTCCGTTTTTTGATCGGAGGCTTGTAAAGAGTCTTCCACTGAGGTTTTTGTCCTCCGAATTTGTCCGCCCAAACGCTTATTAACCTGTTGTGAAGAATTCTCTTGTTTAGAACTTTTGATACAATTTTTGCATAATGTTTTTGGGTCCGTCTTGCACAGATCCATCTTCATCGTCACATTTTGTAGCAGAGGACCACTGTCTTTCTCAAAGATCCATATAAACGTCTGGGAACGGGTCACTCATGTCAGGCGCTCGCTTTCCGGTGACTAAAACTGTAGGAGTCATGTTACTAATTATGGAAATGGAGGCCATTTTACTGAGCCACAAATAAGACTCAAATATCATAACTTCTGCAAGATTACCTTTTTTTAGGAAGTGATTTCAACTGTATGGTTGATTTAGATGGAAATCATTTAGAGCCACATTTACACTCGAGGAGGATAAAGATCTAAACATGGATCAACAAGGAAGTTTGCTTTTAGGAAGTGTGTTCATAGCTAGATTTAGACCTAAGAGCTCAAACTGGCGCTTTAATGCTGTTGTCTTAAATGACGGTTGCTTTAAAAAAAGGTTTTTCATGTTTTTGGGAACGATGGAGAACCATAAAGTCTCAGTTTATGTTGGGATGTTAGTAAAATTAAAATCCAGCTGTTTTGTAATCAACACACACAATGATACAGGAGAAATGGTCTAATCTATTGAAGAATTAGAGGCTGATATCGTGGAGTGTTTTTTAATCGGCAGGAAACAAAAGCCATTTTTTGGTCCTCAAATGAAAAAACAACAAAAACTTGACAGTCTAGGTGCAGACCTGCACTGTGAGGTTCTCCTCCGCTGTCAGAACCAGAAGTTTATTTGAAGTCTTTCAAAGTAAAAGTGAATTAAAATAAAAGCTAGTATATTGGGAATATTTTACATTCCGTCTTCATTTCCTGGGTCTCCATAATAGAATTTTTTTGTCTATTCATGTGTTTATTTATAATTTGTTTCCAATTCAACTTAAGTTTAAAAAAATGCAAGAAAATGTCAAAATAACAAAATGAACTCAGTTCTTTTATAAAGTCTCTAATGTGTATTCTATTTTCATTATTCTTTTAGTATTGTTTGTGCTGTTGGACCACATAGATTAACCAATGGAGGCTGGGATTTCATATTAACTAAGCTTTGGGTTCTCAGTGAATTACTGAATACCTCGATAATGACCACAATAGACAATAACTTCAGTTTACTTTTCCACGACGCCTGAGAAAACAGTAGACATGAAACAAACTTTCATATGTCTATTCTATTTAATTTATGGTGAAAAAAGCAGATTTCCCAGCATGACGCAGCGTTTAACTTTAGGTGAAGCTCCAGCAGGAGAAACATCCGTCTCTAAGAGACAGATCATGTTGGAATAAGTGAAAGAAAATCAACCAAAAATTACAAGAAAACATGATTTTCTTGGTCTTGAAGTGGTGAGATGGCAGATCTAAGTGAGCTCCCACCTCGCAAAAAGAAATCTTCTAATGAAATCTGGCAGCTCATATAAACTATTCCTGAATGCTTTAATTAAAACGTTTGGATCCTCCTGACAGTGCAGGAGCTCCCACTGTGCAGGGTCGCCGCCAGACGCCTCTCAAAGTAACGCCTCTCAACTCATTCAATGTTTCCGTTCAGAAGATGAAGTTGACCGAAGCAACTGATCTGCAGAAAAGAGCTGTGGATGTTTTTTCTAACCTGTATGTCAGTGAGTTTAAAGACGACTCGCCGATAACTTAAGAACTAGCCGGAACTCCAGAGCCTCCATGGTCCTCTCCTTCTCAGACTTATGCTCTCCTCCTCCTTCTGTCAGTCTAGGTGGGCCTCTATGGATTAGCGGGTGGTCCGCCCTGTCTATGTCCAGATGATGGACCAATCAGTCTTTCATTCAGGTCAGATGTGTTTAAAACATGGAGGACCAGGGTTAGGAAACCCTGTTCTAGAACCAGAACCGCTGCAGTGAGCGGACAGATCTAGGGCTGGTTGCTCAGCTGAGACTTTCTGAGGGCCGCTAGGCAAATGCAGAGGAACCGTTTTAAAGATCAGATTCTAATATAGAAATACATTTATAGAGCCTTCATCACTGTCAACATCCATCCCATAATAATTCAGTATAAAACACTGATGAAGCATTGAAGGAACAGAACATAGAAAGGTAAAGACCTTTGACCCGTCTTCTGTTTCGCCTGCAGCTGCTGGGCCAAGTTCAGATGTGCAGAAGAAGAACCTGTCTGCGTTCTGCAGCGACATGCTGGACGAGTATCTGGAGTCTGAGGGGAAGCTGATCGACGAGCGAGCCTCCACCTTCTCCCAGCTGCCGGTGGAAGCACCGCCCTTCCAGCTCCCGCTCAGCGGCGCCAGCTACGTCCGGACCCTGGATCACGTCCTGAAGAAGGCCACAGCTGGCAGCCCCGCCTCAGACATCATATCTGGGTTCATCCCCCCATCCAAGAGGTCCAGACTGAAGAAGATCCCGAACTGCAGGAAGACGGCCAGGAAACGGAGACGTCCCAGATGGACTAGATTCAGAGCATCTCCTGCAACTCCTCAGCGGCCAGCAGCTGGACCAGTCCAGGATGCTGTTCAGACACCTGGTGGCCCGGCTCAGCCCACAGAACCTCAGAACCCACCCACTCCTAAAAAGAGGAGGCTTAAACCCAGAACCTCGTCTCGGACCCTGGGAGCTCCAGGGTCTACGCACGTGTCTGAGGACATGGCTCCGCTGGAGTCCGACTCTGAGCTGAGGACGGACTCTGGGCCGAACCAACTCTCTGATCGGACCGGGGAACCCGGTGGGAAAGAGAAAAGGGCCTCTGGGACCCGGGCCCTAGCCAGGCTGAAGGAGCTGGAGGACGGCGTGGCTTGGGAGGGCTGCTTCCAGACCAGCATCACAGAGGAGAGGGCAACAATCGCCCTGATGTCCCTCTTCACTCAGACTATGAGTTCTTCATTCACTGCAGACCGGATCAGAACCATCCTGCCCTTAGCTAGGAAGGTAAGTCAACCCTGAACAGTGGAGTCAGGAATAACATCTCATTTATAAAGCATCAATCAAAGCCGTTTCACGCTACGTTTCCAAGAGAAACGGGTCTGAACACGATTCTTTCAGAAAGGGTCTCTGTGGTTGTGCCTCTACACGCTGACACATAATAATAATTAAACTTTATTAAGCTGGAACAGGGAAAGGAGCAGCTGGGACTAGAAGGGACCAGTTGGGACCAGAAGGGACCACCTGGAACTAGAAGGGACCAGTTGGGACCAGAAGGGACCACCTGGAACAGGGAAGTGACCAGTTGGGACTAGAAG